TAGTTTAACTCCTGTGTCACTTGGACCACTTCCTTATATTCTAGAGCTCCAGGATGCCCCAGCTCACTTGTATTTTCTCTACCCTTCCTCTCAAATCAGTCGTTTGTACAAAGAGCTTTGTTTTCGTTTATGGGGAAATGGCCTCAAGTGCTGTAGTGTCTCTCCTGGTTAGGAGACTCACAATGGTCCACTCAGGTTCAAAGGAGACGAGACATAATAGACTCCATCTCCTAATGGAGGAGTAGAAAGGCAACATTTTAAGACGAGTCTTGGGATGAGAGATATTGCTATGCATGTTTGGAAAATGTAAGCCATAAAAGGCCTTGAGACTGGGTATCTCTATGAGAAGGTGAAATCTGAGTGATGATTTACAGGATGTGAAGAAGGCAGCCAAGTGGCTTTCTCTGGGACAGTGTTCCAGACAGCTGTAAAGGTAACACAAAGGCTTTGCATGAGACTGTATCTGATGTTTTTAAAGAAAGTAAAGAAGCCACTGTAGCTATTGGGGGAGTGATGTGGGGACTCAGAGAAGACGAGGATGATGAGGTAGAGGGAAGAGGACAGATTATGGAAGGCCCGGGGGACAGCGGGAGGATTTGGGTGAGCAGCCATGGCAAGGTATGGACAGGAAGATGATACAATCTGATTTATAATTTTAACTGCTTATTGAAAATTGATATGGTGAGACAAGGGCAGAGAGAAACCAATTAGGACAAAACTGCAGTAATTGACACAAAATGTAGATGATGGTAGCTTGGGCCTGGGTGACAACAGTGGAGGTGGTGCAGAAGTAGTTGGATTCCAAACATCTTCTGATGTTGCAGCTAACAGAATTTCTTGCTGGACTGGAGTTGGAATATAAAAAAGAGAGGAAAATCAAGGATGGCTTCAAACTGTGGCCTGAAAAATTGTAAAAGTGAAGCTGCCATTCACTGAGATGGGAAGACTGAGGACAGAGGGAAGACTAGGAATTTATTTTGGGAAGTGTTGATGTGCAGATATCCATCAGATATCCAAGTAGAGATGTCAAGTAAGGCTCTAGTACATATATTTGCGGTTCAGGAAATGGAGTCTGGGCTGGAAATGGATGTGACAGTATATGGATTGAATTTAAGTTTATAATGAGAACTAAGGAGAGTTGTCATAACAGAAAAAGAATCAAAGACTGATCCTTGGAATATTTTAACATTATGAAAAAGAAACCATCAAACAAAAGAGACAAAGAGGGAGTAACCAGTAACATAAGAATGAGTGATATCTACAGGGAGGAAGTGGAGAAAGTGTGTCATGAGGAACAGCGTCACCTGCCATGTGCTGTTGCTACATTCAGTAGGATGAGGACCAAGACTCTGAGCGTGGGAGAGTGAGTGGATTAGGGACATACAGCATGATTTCCTGGCAGCATCATGGAGCTACCCGAAGGTCCTTGTGTCAAATTTAAAGTGAAGTCAGTCAGTGTGGGTATGTTTTTTTCCAAAAATCTTTAAGAGCCATTGTTGAGTCTGCAGAGATACAGATAAGTGTGACATGATGAAAGGAAAGACAAAATGGAGTTGAGGATGTAAGTAAGAATGATTATAATGACTGTGTTAGCTGAGTAGGGAGGATAATGAGAACACATAAGGGATGAAAGCAAAGAAAAGTTGTAGGACCATTGAATTGAACATGTGGTTGACAGAAAGCTGAAGAATATTATATTTGAGCGTTAACTTTTATATTGAGTGACCCTGCCCACTAGGAAAACTCAACTTTAAGACTATATCAATCAGGTAACAGTTCCTGCTACCTTGAGCTGGAAAACACAGATACACTTGGAGCAGGGAGGAAGACAAAACTACCCCTCTCACCAATAATATTCACAAAAATTAGGCAAGGTGGCAAATGCAGTTCTAGGTCAATGTTAATAATGAGCCTCAGTGAATCTTTTTTCTTGTAAGAGTCTTCAGTGAAGGCTTCCAGCATCTCACTAGGGCACAGTGCTGTCATTTAGTACAATCCTGTAGTTTTCACAGGGCACCAAAGAGTATTACCAACACCCTTTGCCCCAAAATTTGTTTGGATGTTGAGAGAAATGGTGCCACATACACAAGTAAGAGTATGAAGAGATTTATTCCTTGCACTTTGAAGCTTTCTGGGAAGAACAAGGCAGTCCCCAAGCTAGGCTGAAAATGGCTGGGAAGGAGATGTGTGTATGATTAGGAGGCAGAAGTGGAGTGAGGTGGACTTTCTCACTGGCACGGAGAGGAAACACACAAACTTTCCCACAGGTTTGTCCACGTGTGGGACAGAAAGGAGAAGAGAGACAGTAGGACCAGAAATGTGTCAATGGTTAAATATCAGAAATGGAATCAGAGTTTTTATTAAAATATGGTGCATGGCACAATTCTACTGGGTGACAAGCACAGCATGGTGATTAAAGTCTTAAGTTTTGGAATTAGGCTGGGGTTTAAATCCTAGTTTTTAGCTGTGTGACCCTTATATTTGACCTTAGGCAAATTGCTTAGTGCTTCTCCTATGTCTCAGTTTCCTCATTTGGAAAAGGGGAACAAAGGTAGTTTGTTAAGTCCTCAATGATTGTGAGGCTCCATATGCTGGTAAATTGCTTAGCACAGTTTTGTAATTTAGCAAGCCACATACTAATCTCTGAAATTCCTAGTCCTGCTGCTTCCACTTCACATATGTGTGATCCTCATGGCTGAACCATGTCTTGTTGCCAATGGCTCTGAATATGTAATTTTTTCAAGTAATTCATTTCCTTTCCTTTTGAAAGTATTACATATTCACTGTACCAATTCTAAGTTTTAACTTTATGCTCTGCTCTGTTCAAACTCCTCTAAGAGTTTTATAATTAGAAAACAAAACTTAGCCCTAAAAAATCTTGGGAAGAATCTTGTGTAAATCGGTTTGTTAAGTAAAGGTTTCTTTAGTTTAGGGATTGTTAATTTATCTTTGAAGTTTCACTTTGCATAGGTAGATTCTCTTAAATCCTAGAAAGTGTTTGTTTTGAGAAAGAAAAAGTGTGACTTTCCAAAATTCCTCCACATGTTTAGTGGCATTTCCTCTATGTTCAACACTCATTCATTTATTGATCAAATAATTATTAAGCACCAATTATGTTCGGAATAATGGGACAGTCCCTGGGGATTATGCAGTATGAACAAGATGATCAGATTTGACTCTCACGGGGCTCGGCAGACTAGCGGGACAGATGGACAATAAAAGGCTACCTACTCTAATAGGATTTTTAATTGCAAAAGACAAAAACCAACTCTGGTTACTATAAAGAAGCAGTTTTAGAATAATGCTGAGGGTCGGGGATTTAGCTCAGTGGTTACACCGCCTGTCTCGAAAGCACAGGACCCAACTTCCATCCCCAGTACAAAAAAAAAAAAAAAATTATAGAATAATGCTGTGCTCCCACGTATACCATGGAAACCTGCAGAACAAGCAAAGTTAGAATGGAGAGAGACTGAAGGAGCTGGGCTCCCTGAGCCAGGTCCATGCCTGCTCAGGGCATCCCTGCTAGCCCTGCTGAGCTCTGCTCTGAAGTTACTGCTACCATAGAGCATTCATACAGCTTCGGTGCTGTAAAGAAACCTATGTTGCCCTGGCTTTTTAAAAACACTTGCTCTACATTTACCAACCAGCAGAAACATCTGATTCCTGAGTTTCTGTCTTACGCCATAGCCTTGAGCTCAGGAGGTCAGGTATTTGACCTGGTTTTCTGGGAGGTAGGAAACTATGGGCAACCAACCAACCAACTGTATACAATTAACACCCAATACACACACAGAAAAACTTATAATGAGTGTTAAGGCATTAGCATGGGGTGAGTTCAGCTTATTTACAAAAGCACCACTGAAGCCCATACTCTTGGTGCTTCATAGTCTCCTCTAGGGCCTCTGCTGTTGATGGCTCAGCCTTCAGTGGAGACACCTTCATCCAGAGCATTGTTTTCCACACCTCAGGCATTCCTGCTCCAGCTGCAGTCATACTGGTAACTACTCTTTCTTATATAAATCTCAGCTTCCTAAGTGCAAATTCAGTATCATTCTCCAAAAATAGAAGGTAAAAAATGTTATATGAAGACCTAGCTAGATGCTTTGGCAAAGGGTCTGAGCCTGGGGTCCACTTTTAGCAAATAGCCAGGGATAATGTAATGGCACCATGCAGACATATTATCCCTGACCTTCTTGGAAAACCTAAAAGCATGGGAAAGGGACTAATTTTTAAACTTTATATTTTAGTGGGCTTTAAAAAAAAAACATGTTTTCAGGACACTTTTATGATGAAGTTTCATGCTGCTAGTTGTATCAGGTTATAGTGGTTTAGATTTAGAATATCCCATAAAAGCCTCATGTTCAGAGATGGGGCTTTTGGGGTGTGATTGGATCATGGGGGTGCTATACTCATCCGTGGATTAATCTACTGATGAATCCATAGCTGAAGGTGCTGTTAGGAGCTGGGGTCTGGTCAGAAGAGATGGCTCACTGGGGTGTGACCTGGAAGCAGGTATATCTCCCGGTCTCCTCCCTTCTCTCTTTGCTTCCGGGCTGCCAGGAGGTGAGCAGCTTTCCTCCACCTGGCCCTTCCACCATGATGTTTCTGGTATTTGAACCAGCTGACAATGGACTGAAACTTCTGAAACTATAAGCCAAAATAAACTCTCTTATGTTATGGAGGTCAGGTATTGTGTCTCAGTGACAAGGAAATGACTAAGGCATAGGGTCTACACTTCAGGTGGTAAATATTATATAAATGATAAATATTACAAAAGGCCTTTAAGGTGGGGAAGACTTGTTTAAATTTTAGCTCCCTCTCTATTAACTGTGATTTTAAGAACAAAATTAACATTTTGAATCTTAGTACATGCCCCTGTAAAGTGTGTGCAATAAGCCCAATTTTCCTGATGTGTTAAATGTAGACCAGTGCTGCCCATACTGTGTTATGTGTACACATCATCTGAGGATGTTCTTAAAATGTAGATTCTGATTCCATAGGTCTGAGGAGAGCCCGGAGATTCTGCCTTTCCAATAAAGTTCCAGCTGATGCTGATGCCATACTTGTGGGTCACACAGAGCAAAATTATAACTCTGTGTTGTCAATATGGGAGCCCTCAGACTCATGCAGCCACTGCATCCTTGAAATGTGACTAGTGTACCTGAAAAATGAAAATTTCACTGTACAGTGGTACCTCAGGTCAAGAACTTCTTTCCATGATTCTGGTTGCAAAATGAATTGGATGAGAACAGAATCAAATGTCCCCATAAGGTCAACATCGAACCTAACTATTGAATTTGATTCAGTTCTTGTCCAATTCAGATTGCTATCAGAGTCATGGAAGCAATTAAGTTTGTGAACCACTGTAATTTTTAATTTTAAAAAACTGGATACTTGGTTCAGTTATTGGAAAACAATTTTTAGTGTACTTGGAACAAATCATGAATTTATCTTTTCTGCTGTTAATTTTAGGAGATTTAAATAACCAAGCATGCATTTCCAATGAAAATTTGTCTGAATTGAGATATTCTCTTAAGTGTAAAATAAACATATTTTGAAGACTTACTTTTTATTTTATTTTATTTTTTTGGTACCGGGGATCATACTGGAGACCTTGCACTTGTGAAGCAGGTGGCAGAACCACTGAGCTAAATCCCTGGCCCTTGAAGACTTATTTTTTAAAAAAGGAATGTACTTAAAATATTTTGTTAATAAATTGTCTATCGATCGTATATTGAATTGTAATACAGTTCTTTGAATTGTAAAATTGTGGATATGCTCAGTTAAAACAGATTATTAAAATTGATTTCTTCTGTCCTTATTTTTTAAAAATATGGCTGGTTGAAAAGTTAAAATTCCACATGTGGCTTGCTTTGAGTCTTGCTGGACAATTCAGATACAGAGCGGTAAGCCAGGAGCTGGCTTTCCTGTCAGTGTGTTCTTCCTGTCTAGATTCAGGCGTGGCCTCTGGCTGGGAAGAGGAAGTGAGGCAGTGGAAAGGACAGCTTTCTTGCTTCCCTGCAAGAGGCTGTGGAAAAAACACAACATGCACAGCAGGTTTGTCAGCTCACAGACTATTTCTTCATAGTGGGTTAGTTCCACTCCATTCCATGGCAGGCTCTGCTTTTTTTGAGAGGTGCAAAAGACGTGTCAGCAGTCTGGAGGGGACTGCTCAAAGCTGGCTCTCAACACAAGATGCTCACTTCTTAAGAGTTAAGGGTCATGGCAAAGGGTTCACTCAACCCAACCTCCTCAGTGACATGAAGGGAAGTTAACTGAAACAACATGGGCTCTTGCGAATGTGCTGCACTGTCTCCTGGCCAACTCAGTAATTCCAAAGGAGGCTAAAACATTTCATGAAGAACAGTAATGAAGACATCCGCAAATCTGACAATAACCAAGACATTTGCAGAAAGAAATATGCAGAACTTGGAGTTAGTTTCCTCATACTACAAATTACATTATGGTAACTTCACTCCCTCACTCTTGTAAAAAAACATTTTTTTTAACCAACTCAGTCAAATATTTACATGTAGAATCAGAACTGGCAGCAAATTCAAAGAAAACTATTAAGACTGGGAAGAGTTGCTTCTGTATCAGAGGCTTGAGACTCACGGTCTTAATTAACCTTTCTAAATAAGAACTGATGGCCTTGGATGGAAAATGTGGGGAGACTAAAATGTGTTTGAAGAATGTTTGACTACAAAGTAAATAGCCTGAATAAAAATTATTAAATTAGCTGCTGCCTCCACATTCCATAAAACTGAATACACAGTAAAATGCATCGTATAGTCAAAGGCTTGGATAAAAGAAATCACGAAACAATCTGAGTTCAGTGACGATCCAAACTTCATGGAATTAGTTGTTAGATCTTGATATAAAGCTGTTCAGCTGGCATAATATTAGACATGCTTATCTCTTTTCCTTTCTGTCACTCAATCCATCAGGAAACATTTATTAGGTATATTCTTCATGTCAGCAGAAAATGCCCTTTTACAAATTAAAATAATATTTTTATCTTATACAAAGTAGTATACTATTTTTCAGATTTATGTTTACTTAGATAGCAGCCAAAGGAAGGCAAGCTTAGTAAACTCACAGCATAAAGACAATTGCAAAGAGAAAAGTTTAAATGCTAGAAAACATGTTAGAAGTGTACATTCATAAGCTAATGTTTGTCAGCATCCAAAAATCGTTATCTAACACTGTATTTTAATCTAAATCAATTTTAATCTAAATCAATCCCACATATGCAAGAATCTAAGCCATCTCCATTAGCTTGTTTTAAGGAGTTTTTTTTATAGACACTATTATAGACACCGGTAATTTGGTTAAGTCTTAAATGGTAGTGAATTTCGCACTACTGCTTACCTGAAGAACTTGAACATCATGAAAAAAACACCAGTTTCTTTTTCCTGCTCCTTCGCACTGACTGTTTCTCTGTCTGGACTATTCCTTCTCTGAGCAGGCAGGACCTTGTCCATTCTTCAGTGTCTTGCCCGGTGGATGTCTTTGCTAAGTGTTCTTTAACCATGTGTCCCCAATCTTCCCCGCACCCTGCTTGGCACTGCTATGGCACTCACTGCACTATGATAATGGTTCCTGTCATAGTCTCAATTCAGGGAATTGTGTTTTTTTTCTGGAAGAAATAAAAGTGTCACTTTAGCATTTAGTATAACGACAGCTTTCTGCCACACAGCCTTGTTCTGGTCTGGTCTCACACTGCTGCTCAGCTGGGGCCTTCCACTCTTGCCCCTTACCCCTTGGGACTATCACCATTTGCTGGTCTTTTATTTAGCCTACTTCATTCCCTCTGTCTGACTGATGGAGAAATGGCTTCTCTGTTTATGTCTCTCACCTTACATGGGTCTGACAGATGGATGAGTGGCTTGGGTCGCCGGTGATAATTCTGCTTCATTTTACAGTCATCTTGGGAGGGAGGCAGCTTTTACCAGACAGTTTCTGGGGATAACTAACACAGCTATTTTCACTCTTTTTTTCTCAGTGACATATTCTGCTTCTTTCCCTTCACTTGGCCTGGTCATAAAAATTGATAGGTAGTATCTTATGCCTTTACATAGATGGGAGTTTTTTCTTTTTAGATGCCTCTTGTCCTTCCTTAGAATTTGGAATGCAGTAGGCCTTTCCTAAATCCATTGAATTAGTTTTTATTTACAGTACCTGAAATACCAATCTTGTACAGTTCCAAAGGTTTAGCTAGACATGAGGGGAAGTACTAACACACAGAACAAAAACTTCTAAATACAACAAAATTTTAAGTCTGGGTTAAAGGTAGTTTTCCTTGCCATTATATACTCTACTAATTTAATAATGATCATGGCTTACTCTTACAATCTGAAATGAAAACCAAAGTTATTCATTTATACTTAAGAGTGTTTCAGAACAAATATAATGCAAATTCTCCCATAAAAACTGTTTCCAGTCCAATGATAAAAGTAATGTTCCAGAAGGAAACTATAAATCAGTTGTTTTCTTAGTAAAGCCATTAGCTATAACTCTTAGTTAAATCTTCAAATTAATTCAGTCACATGACAAATTTCCAAAGAACTTTACACTTTTATGCATGCTGATGGGTTACTTAGCATAGATATAATTGTGAATTACCCATGTTATCTGCTTTTCAACCCCTTTGAGTTGTTTCCCTTTCCAAACACTGGAGAAGGGAAGAAAAAGAACACAGGAGTAAAATGATTTCATTCAGTTGTTATCTGTGTTAAGCAATGAGGCCTGAAATTTTATATAAAAGTGGATTCACAGGTCTTGCAGGTCTGCAGGCAAAGGTTTCTTGATTTCCTATTATGCTGAACCTAATTTAGAATCTACAAGCACCTGCAGACATATATGTCAAGGTTGCATGCTTTCAGTGGACTAGTTCTACTCAGGATTTCACCCCTGAACAAAGGAAGCCAGTAATATACATGCAATACCTTTCAGTCTCTTAAATTTTCTCTAAATATTGTAGCAAACCCAAAGTTTATTCCACTACTGTTTCCACAAGTTGTTAGAAAATCTACTTTTAGAAAGGCACAGTGGGTCCCGAGTCACGAAGAACACGCTGAATCAGCCCGCTGCAGACAGGCAGCCACCTGGGTCCACACTACAAAGACTCAGAGGACACCAGACCACCAGACCACGGTACTGAGTGCTGCTGCTCCGGGCCCAGAGGGAGGGGCTTCTGAGCCGCCATCCCACTGCTCCTGGACTAGAGGAAGGGGCTTCCTGGCCACCATCCCTCCCGCTGCTCCCAGCCCACAGGAAGGGGCTTTTGAGCCACCATCCCTACTGCTGCTCCAGGCCCCTGTCCCACCTCTCCCAGCTCAGAGGAGGTAATCCAAGCAGGTGGCAAGAGCCCCCCCCCCCAGCAGTCAAAATGAGAAAACACGTAAATAAGTCTCAAAACCAGACTTCCAGATCACCTACAGCAACCCCAAAGGGAAATGAGATGGA